AAAAGTTTGCGGCCCGCTGACAGGCCCTGAACCTGAACTTTTCCGACAAATTGCTGGACCCCTGGAATGACATTTGCACCTGTCGGTCGTTTCGGTCGTGTCGCTCGTGACTGTGCCCTGTGCCCCTCGGTCTGAGATCTGAGATGTACATACATCACTGTCAAGGGGAATGTCTTTGTTGGTTTTCCGTGCTAAATTTAGAATCTTTCTCATGTCTTTACCCAAACGCATAGACACGCGAAATGTTTGGGAAATAAACATGCTAAAAATCGAAAATTCAATTTAAACGTCACATGGCCCTGGCCCTGTCGTCAAAAATCATAATTTTTCTCAAAGCGAACGTCGAAGCGGTGGAGGCAGAGACGGAGAGCTTTTGCTGATACTCTATGCCAGAAACGTGTCGGAAAATCTGGCAAATGTCAGACAGCTTGTCAATGAGAAGGGGAAGTCAGTGTGGTATGAACCCATGAATGAGCCAGCAGACGCAGCATTTTCCTCTCAATGAACGAGAAACGAATCCAAAATGCATCAAGGCTGTGTGTGGCAGTTGGCAATTGCCAGTTTTGGCCAAGCCACGCCGCAGCCACATCGACGGCCAAAAGAAATTGTCAGCTGCCATTGATTGCGTTGCCATTGAATGGAAAGTATCTCAGTATCTCAGATTGTGTGTGTGTGTGTGTGTGTGTGTGTGTGTGTGTGTGCCTTGAATGAGCCAAATTGCAGGCCGTCTAATAGTGCCACGAGATTTGGCCCGGATTGTCCGCCTGACGGCTCCACAAAGCATCGAATTAAGGTGGCTTCTTCTTTGGCGAAGACTATTTTCACCACAGAGACAATTGCATGAAGCTGATGCTATATTGGAAATCAAGGGAAACCGTAATCTCTCTCATCAGCTGACAAATTGTCATCTACTCCTTATGTGTGTCGTTCGTTGATCAAGTTCCAGAGAATGCTCTTCTGGGAGTACGAGTATATTAAATTGCTTTGATTCTAGATGGAATCTTCGTTGCTCGTTCTTCGTGGATTAAGGTTTCAATTAAGGTTTAGCCATAATCCAAGGTCCTCCATTGGGTAGAACTTTTCCAAAAATATTTCTTTTCCATTAATTAATCAGTTGAATTTTCTTCGAATTTCTCTTTGCCATTTGCTGTCCATTCTCCATTGATCGAATTACCCATTGTTTTCGGCCAAGTGCAGCAGTCGATACTCCGGTTTCAATCGAAGGCAAATATTAACATTTTTCATTTGGGCAAAAGCCCGACAAAGGACACCAAATGAAGCGCAGGCAGTGGCAGTAGCAGCGGCAGTAAACAGAGTGAAGGGAGATAGTGAGATGAAAAAGAAAAGCCGAATAATTGTATAAAATGAGAAAACGAGCCACTAAAGAGACTGACGGCAGCCGCAGCCTTGAGCCCTTGAGTGGAGCCCGTCGAGGGGTGGAATGGGGCTGGGACTGGGACTGGGGGAAAAGCAGCCCTGCAAAAGAATTAAACTAATATTTATCAAAGAGATGAGCGAGACGTGCTTCAAGCTAAACAAAAGACGACAGCACATGCCGGCGCCAGTCGAGAGGAGAAATGAGGAATGGCACAGAAGACAGGAGACAGGAGCTTGGAGAAGGAGATGGAGAATGGGGAGTCTGAGGAGGATTCAGATGAACAGGATGAACTGGATGCTGATCCCTGCGAGCAGAACGAGATGCAGCGTCATGGCTGTGTTTAGGAAAGTGACGCTGTCAAAATGCGAAATGAATGGACCTGCTCTCGTCGCACTTGTCTCTCCCGAAAGCCGCCTCAGAGGCGGCTGTTGTCTGAGGACTGTACGATGCACGAGGTATCTCCAGGACTCTGAGAGGAGTCTCGCGAAAGTTGTCCCAACTTTATGCTAATTAGCAGCTGCTAACCAGCGTTAAAACTTTGCACTCAACAGGCGCAGCAGGCAGGCAGCCAAACATGTGCTCTAATGTTCTCCAACCTGGTATTGAAACAGGATTTACGGCCTCCTTGGCCCTTTTTCTCTTCTCAAATGAGATAAGTGCCGCATTTCGGACAGCTGAGCCACACAATGGACTCGATGAATATCTGGGACTCTTCTCCCCTCTCTCCTCTCCCTCTCTTATTGTATTTTTGAGTGCATTTTAAGCTGTCGCAGCTGCCTCTGCCTCTGACTCTCTGCTCTCCTACACAATGCTTTCCCCACTTGAAAAAACACCATTTATAAGCAGATATATACGGGTATATGTAGTGTATGTTTGTACGTTTGGGTAATTGCATTGAAATGGGAAAATAAAACGGCTATAAATATGCCCATTGTGTGTGTGGGGGTCTGGGGGCTCCAGCAAGTGCGATTTCGGTGCCAACAATGCGCGCCATAAATTAACTAAATTGAAAACCGTTTTGGTGCAGGGCCACCCGGCTGTACACCCCTCCTCCTCCCTCCCTCATCCACCATCCCTCTTCTATCACACACAGCTTCCATCAGGCACGAGCAACACTTTTATATTCATTACAGTTCATACAGAGAGCTCTGCTCTGCTCTGCTCTATAGTGCACTGCAATAGTGCTGAAAATATGGTCTCTGGGCTATGGGGCAGTGGAGGGAACGAATTGAGCGCAGAGATACTTTTATGATGGATGGGCACTCGCTGTTTGTTCCTGCAGAGAATTGCCAAGTCATTTCGGGGATGTTGTTCCCGAAAGGGAAAACCGATTGCTCGCATACTCACATCCGGACCTCTCCACTTCTTGGATACCATTCAAAAATAGTCCATTCAGTAAGCGGAAACAAAGCAAATAATTTATATATCTTCACAGTTTCTTCGCATGGAAAATAGTCACCTCTCAGCTTTCAGACTTGCAACTTGGGAGTCTCTAAGGTATACAAAAATTGGAAGAACTGTATTGATTGATATCTACCCCATGCTATAGAGTATTTACGCGTCTGCTTTGTCCAATTTTTCTGCATTTTCCGAACGTTCTTTACCCCCCCCCCGCTGATGCGCTTTCCGCTGGCGGCGCACATAAATATGCAATAGAAACTTTTCTCACGTTTTTGATTGCATTTTTTTTTTGTGCAGCATCATAAATATTTAATGTTTACTTTCGCTGGAGCTTCATTTTTATTTCCCGCTTATTTCCGGCCAGACCCAGCAGCAGCGATCGCTGCACACTTGTCCGGAAAATGCAGTTGAAGGGGCGGCAGGCCGCCCTCTTGATTGCTTTTGGTACATAAAAGACTGCTACAAAGTGCCGAGTGGTGCGGTGCCCCGTTTTAATGGCCTTATTAATATAAAGATGGATAAGTCACTGCTTGTGACCGAAAACCCACACGATGCACTTCATTAACTTAATTAAAAACTTGGCGACAGCACCACAAACGCCACGGCACACATGAAGGGCGCACAGATGTTGCAACATCCAGGAGATCCCGCTCGGGCTCGTGCTCGTGCTTCCGTAAGTGCAGAGGCGGAAACCGCAAAGCGAGTCAATTCCAGCTGAGTGCAAATAATGCGTTCGCTCTCACAGATCCACGCTCGAGTCCCTGCGACATTCATAACGCTGGCTGCCACACACGAAGCGCAAACTCAATTAAAAACTGTCGAGCTGTTGCCGCCACGCTGCACTTTCACCCGCTGACTGGAGTTGATTGTCATTATCATACACAGTGATACATTCTCCACAATTCTCTATTTATCTTGCCTTTTCTCTCGTTACTTCTCAGTATCCCTCTCTCTCTTTTCTTCTCATTCTCCATCTCTGTAAGAGGTGGAAAAAGCATTCCCATTGCAGAGCCTCGGGTCCCTTTTATTCTGGCTTTCCTCAGTACTTAACGCCGCATGTAAATGCATTTGTTTGCTGCTGCATCCAGCAGCTGTTCATTTCTTTCATTTGGGATTTCTAATTCCTCTTTGCCTGCCTCCGGACTTAATGGGATTTTAAATGGAGTTTTCATTTATAAATTAGCAGTCTTTCCATGCCTGAAATTACCAGCAGTCCTCACATAATTCGTAGACTGAAAGGCCACTCGTTTAGTTTCATAAATGTTCTTCAGGAATCAGTCATTTGACTTCTCTCAGACTTCTCGCAATGTTCTCAAATCTCGGTCTCGTGTTCCCAGTTCTCTCTAATGCAAATAGAGCATCCAAAGACACTAAGAACTGAGTGATTGAGGTTGTTGTCTGGCTGTCTGACTATCTAGGGAAGCTGCTGCTGCATGTTTGGAATTTTTATGTTGTGTGTGCAACTGGGTGGCACTCATCGGTTCTAGTCTGCTGCACTGTGCTGTGTTCGGTGTTCGACTACAGCCAAGGCCTGGCTACAGTGTCTCAAATGCGGCTAAGCATGACGTTGATGAAGCGCATGCAACAGCTCAACTTAGTTGAAGGGGCATGTTGCAGGTTGCCAGTGCCGTTGCTGTTGCTGTTGTTGCTGCCACCTAAATTTGTTGCTGACAATTTCTTGTTAGCGCTCGCTGTTCATGTTGTGGCTTCGCGCTTTCTGTGTGCGTGCGTGTGTCTGTCTGTCAGTGTTCTAGACGATAAATTTTCAATTTTCTAACTTGCCACAGAGTGCGTTCGTATGTGTGTGTGTGTGTGTGGGTGTACGGCAGCCTTTCAACGTTTCCGCCTGTTTAGCCACCGTTGAGCGCAGCACAACATGGCGTATGATTGATGCCGTCTCAAGCAGACACACGACGGCGGCAGACAGTGGAAGGTGGGCTTATTATATTTACATAAAAAACCAGAAAGAATACCCCTTCGAGCCGAATCGTTTGATGCCCTTACATATGAAGAGTTTCCGACAATCTGCGCGCGGATTTTAGAGATCACAGAACCCTCTGGAAGGGCATGAAAGGGTGTAGTGTGGGGATTTCTATAAACTGTCTGGATGTCTGGGGTTGTGATAGAGTGCCTCCAGGCATAAGCCAGCCTCAACTCTCATTATGCGCTAAGGTTCTTTAATTACTTACACACACCTCATAACTTATCTCTTTCATTGCAGGCAAGGTGTTGAGGAGGTCTAAAGAGGTCTAAGCCCTAAAGAGAGATACGAGTACTCGTACGAGGAGAAGTAAACGGACACGGAGTAGCAGAAGAAGAAGGAAAAAGGGTGAGTAAATGCGAAAGGGAAATGAGAGCATGCGAAGTACAGGATTAGCAGTGAAAGGATATCCTTAGCCGACATCATCGTAGAAAGAATTTAATATCGAAATTATTGCGAGGATACGAATGCATTCGCCCCACTCCACTGGCTAGAAAACAATTCAATTAAGAGACAAAGTTATCCGACAGCCATATAAAAAGATTTTATGACTCCTCTTTCAGGATCATGGCCAAGACCAACTCCCCGTTTCCCCAAAGCTGCATCTAAGTCTGATGCTGATGCTGACGCTGGCTAGCAATCTCATAAAAGTCGGGGCAGGACACGGATATTGAGTGGAAAATTGTTGGGGGGCCAGAGATGCCAGATGCACTTTGCTGCGATGCAGCAGCAGGAGCTGCTCCTACAGATTGCATTAGATTAGAGCAGCATTGGAGGCAGGATGTGCTTTGTATCTGCAGGGAAAGAATTCGTTCATTCGTTCCCCTGTATCTGAGCCACAATGAAATCAATTGAGACTTGGCGAGTTCTGAAACTGATTGAAATGCGAGACTGTGCCGCAGGAAAAAATCCAGCATGTTGGCAATTGGCCAACAATTAGCTGGGCCAAAGAGTAACACGAGCCGGCCTGCCACACAATGGGGCATCGGGACAAAAGGCTCTTTTTGTGACTGAAATGTTTCCGCGAATAAATGCGAAATGGTACGAAATGGTTTTTATGATGATGTCACAGCGCGCCAGAGAAATAATTTTAAAACCCAATAAATTGTCCAGAAAAACACAAAGCAACAAAATGAGCTATAAAATGGAAGAGACAACAACGGGAGAAGCAAACATTTGACTTGACAAAACGAACGAGCATTTATGTGGCCTGGCATGGCATATCGAAGAAAGGAACGCAACGGAACGGAACGGAACGAAACGAACATAAATTCCTTGGGTCTCCTGGCCCAGGGAATCATCGGCTTTTTCCCCCCAAAAAAACATAAATAATCAAATGAAAATAACAAAAGACGCAAACAAAATATGTAAATGTTTGCTTCTGTAGACTGCAAATGGCAAGAGCAGCGCAAAAGCGTATTTGCAGGCAGGAAGGACCCGCAATTTATGGAAAACTCAATGCTTTATTACATCGCACACGCACACAGGCAAGCAAATTCGTGTACCTCATACATATGTACATCCGTACATGTGTATATGCAAATCATATCACTCATACGCCCACGTGAACTTTAAATGCAAAGGCATTATCAAAAATGAAACACCAGCGAGAATGTCAGGCCAGAAAAAACATCATGATGGGCTCGCTGTACGTGTAAGAGGGGATGGCAGAGGGTCTCCAAAGATAAGCAAATTCCTTTACTCTCTCTCAGTCTCTCTCTCTCTTCTTTCTACACATGTTTTGTGCACAAATTTTATTATGCACACAAATAAACAAGCGCACGCACACTGAAGCACAGGTACACCCATCAGACACTTCCTGTAGCGCGTACATATGGCAGCCATTTAAATGAACAGAACAGTTCTGTTATACAACACTGAAAAAAAATGAAATTAATGGCAAGCACTAAGCACTAACAATTCTGAGTGCTCCAAAATGGGAAGCAACCTCTGGAAGCCCACACTTTTTGTGGGACAGTGTAAGCGCGCTGGCAAAAAATATATGATTCGAAATCAACGCATTCATTATTTACAGCCATGCCAACGCTGCGCACAACGAGAAAGGGAAAATGGGAAAAGTGTAAGGGAATGTAAGCCAGCAGCAGCTTGACACATAAACATCAAGAGCGCAAGAATCTGGTGTTGGTGCTACCCTCTGCCACAAATTCGACAGCCTGCCCCCTGCCTCAAGCCTCACGCCTCAAACCTCTAGCTGAAAGCCAACCTGCCCCCGAAAGGGGCGCCAATGTCGACAGCGGCAATTTAAAATTGCTGGCTTTTTAACTCGCATCCATTTACAGCAATTTGGTGTGCTCTCGAGGCGTGTGTCAGACAGCAGACAGCAGACAGCAGTGTGTCCCGTCCGTCCCCCGTGTGATGTGTCAGGTTGGAATTACATGAGGCACTTGGAGCCTGCCATGGAGCCATGGCATATAAATAAGCAGAAAACGAAACGAAAACGAAAAACATGAAGGCAAAATTGAAAGCAAAGCCGTCATGAGAAATCAAATTTTATGACTTTGTAATTGAAATTCGCTCACGGAGCATATGAAATGAGTTACGCATACGACCCATCGACCCATGGAACCATGGACTGCACAGATTTCCCAGCACCAGCACTCCAATTGGTCCGAGAGCCTTAGTAGCTTCTGATTTGACCAACTTTTGGATTAAACATTTACTTGATTGAAGAAGACGCCCTGCAACAACCGACTGGTAGATTCGGTGCCATAATTTGCCAGAATGAGGAAAACATTTTCCGAGGGGAGTCTGCCTTGCGATGCACACAAGAAACATTTTATCTGCAGTCTCTAAAGGCTGTTTACATCAAAGAAAATAAGTGGCACCTGTAGCCTTTGGAAGATAGAGACCTGAATGGTCTGAGCAACTGAGCAGCGGGTATCTCATTATTCAGAGACTGCACCACCCTTAGTGGCTTTTATTTCCCATGGATTTATTTATATATGTATACCTATTATATCCCTCAGTGAGTCACTTGTTTCGTGACTTTCGAGTCTCAGCCGCAAATCTGCTCAGCTTTAAAAATTCTATCTGGTAAAAAGAGCAAAAGAAAGAAAAGCTTAAGTGCCGGCGCCAAGCCAACCCCAAACCACAGCAAAGGAGTGGCAATGTGGCAGACTGCAGAGTGGCAGAGAGGCAGTGGAGGAGCAGGTCCGCAGCAGACCATAAACTGCAACCATCAACTGCATTGCATGCCCCCTTTTTCGAGTGGCTGTTGGGCTGATGCTGCTGCTGTGAGGCATGGGGCATGGGGTATGAAACAATTGTTGGGGATATCTGAATCTGGGGAAAATTAAGTTTACGCTCGCTGATTTTCAAAAGCACTTTATATTTTTGGGGAGCAGCGAAAACTTGAGCTCGAGGATTTGCAAGCGTCTGCGCAGCCATAAAATATATTTTGTGTTAACTGAAAGGAAAACCATGAATTGGCCAGTGAATCCTCTGCTCCTGCTCTCCGCAGAACTTAATAATGCAGAAGGAGACTGGCAATCCGTGCTCATTCCGATTCCGCCGCAGTAAATAGTTTGCAAGAGCAGTCGGGAATCAGGACAGGGACTCCGCATCAGGCACCGCATCTGCAAATAGTTTGCCCAACAAATTTCAGACTCCAGAACTAAAATTATGCTTGTTTTGTAACAGTTCTACTCGGGACAAGAAATCGGAGGCTCCTGTCAGCCCCCCTGTCAGCGGCGTCGGGCTACTGCGGCAAACCTCAAGACGATGCCGCAGAGGGGCTGGGCTAGGCTGTGCTGCTGGAAAAGTATCTGAAAAGTTGTGCGCTGCGGGCTCAGCTCGTCTTGGGCTGGGAACGTATTAGGAATGTCAAATAGTGAGGCAGACGTGCGGTGGTGGCAATCAAAAGACGAACTGCCAGGTGGATTCGGTGTGGCAGGAAAAATAAAGAAAAATAAGCCTCATACGGGAGCTGGTACATAAATATATTAAAACCTATGAATATTTAGGCCCCTGTCGGCTTTGGCAATAACACAAACGACCAGCCAAAATGTGGGGGAATTTTAAGCCCTAGTCAAACATCTTCCCCCCTGCGCACAATTCATAATTAAATTACATTATTTATGTTCTGTTGTCGGGAGAATTCATCCGAACGGAACTCCCGACTTGGCAACTGTCCCCCGAAGCTTAAAGCGGCTTACGATTTGTTATTTGCTGACCAAATAATTGGCCAGCTCTCGGGCCTCTGCCCGGGCCTGTCCCCGGCCATGTCAGACCCCTGCCAGGGACCGCCTGCTGTCCGCTTGATTAGCATAATTAACACTCGGTTTCAGCCCCATTTGAGTGCACACTCACGGAAATGCAGTCATGCGCATGGAAATCAATAGACAATTTCCCACCAGAGATGAAATTTTGCGAAATTCGTTGCACTCGAAATAAAATGAAAACCATAATGATTAGAGCACACTGCTGCTCGGAGTTTGGTAATTATTATGCCATCCTATTATCCGATATCTAACCAATTTTCGCTGGCATATTTCCAAATGGCTCTGCTGTGGTTTGTGCGGCGATTGATACTGATTCTATCAGGGATGAGGTGTGATATAAATAATTATGGAAATATGATGGGAATAAAATTGAGATTTATCCCAGGCTCACCATCAACTGAAGTCTTAATCCTATACATCCTTTAGAGAGATGAACCATGCAGAGTCCTCGCAGCTTTTTAGGATTACACTTTAATCACTTGCACAATAGTTTTTTAATGATGGAAGTCCCCCATTTAATTCTTTTGTTTTAAATTTCACTGTAAATTTTGACTCTGGCAAAGAGGGTCACACCTGCAGCACAGGTGTGGCATCGTCTGGCCGTCTAGACACTTGCCCCCCCACCTCCATTCTCCGCTCCGTCAGGCTCGATTGCCACTCAGCCGCATTCAATAAATTCTAAAACCGAGACACATGAGAGAGCGAAGCCTCTCAAAGCCAAACCAAATGCTTTTTTAAAGCCAGTCCTCGATTGCGGTGGCAGCTTGAGCCCGGTTCGACGACCGTTTTTTTCTGAGGTTCCAATGGAATTCAATTAGGAGAGAAATGTATAAATTTTACTCGTACTTGGGGTCGCGGTTCTACTTCGACTTCATCGTCTTCTAGGACTGCTGACCGCAAAGGAGGAGGATGCGGAGTAGCCGCAGTGAAAAAGAAATAAATAAAATTGCAAAACGGAAGCTGGCAACAAAAATGGCTACAACAATGGCGGGAGACGCCGCCTTTTAGCTGCCCTTTTGTTTATTTGTTTCGTATTTTCCAGAGCGTCAAGTGCTTGTGGGCGTGGGCTGCGGTTTTCCCAACGATTCAATAATCAAAAGAAGTATGAAAATTAATACAAAGGGACGCCAGTGCGGACGCCCAGCCGCCAGGATGACTCGTGGGAAATGAGGAAAATGCTTAGCGGAGTACACAAACCGAAGCGAAAATGGCCGTCGGGCCATGAAAACGTTCGCGGTTCCTTCTGCTTCTCGCTTTATTTATTTTCGTCTTTCATTCTGCGTGTTTCATTGTTTAAAAATGGTTCCCTGGAAATTGTAACAACTGCGACCATCATTAGGGCGACATGTGCGTGCACGAGAGGAGCTGCGCTTTGGAGCTGCGACTGAGACAGATTTATTTTATGAGAATTTAAATTGAGAATTTAATACCGACCTGTTTGCACTTCATAAATACCAGCAAGTAATATTCTTTACGTTTCTCTCCACTCTTTGCAGGCAGTCGGCAATCGCACAGAGATCCGCTCACCCATAAGTCCAACAGCCACAAACTGCTCCGGAGATAGATGCCCGGCATAGATATAGTGGAGTAATCCCCATAAAAGTCAATGTTCTGGGCGACATCAAGCGAAATCATTTAATAGGCAGCCGGCAGCTACGTTTTTATTAAGCATACGCCGCGTTGCCCAGCCAAAATCGGAGAAGGAGAAGGTAGAGGAGTACCCTGCCCCACATAAATTAGTAATCAAGCGACACAAAGGCCAAACGCCAAACGCCAGAGGCTGAGCTCTGGGAACTGCGAGCTGGGAGCTGGGAACTGGTGGCTAGGGAGAAACTAATAAGAGACGACTTATTCTTATTGAAATTATGATTAATGACGGGAATATTGCACGACAACAGCGAAGAGTAAATCAAGGCATTGTGTGGCATTAGTTGTGCTTCATAATGATGAGCACAATGATCAAGATGATGATGATGAGCAGCAGCAGCAGTAGCAGCAGATTAGTGCTGTATCGCCACCACCTGACGAATTGAAACCGCGCAATTCTGGAACACAAGGAACCCCGTTTGATGGCTTCGTCCGTGCCGGAGTGCGTTGCAGCCGCGGCTGCAGCGGCAGCCCGACGGCGACGCCATCAGAGCAACCACCGTACACTGATCTCCACCGCCACACTGACGCTGCTTATACTCTTCCTCAGCAGCTGGGTGGCCTATGCAGCGGCCAAGGCGGCTACCACGGCCACCCCACCACGGCTCGAGGAGAGCGGCACGGAGTCGGAGTCGGTCACGATCACGGACTTCAACAGCAGCAGCGCCTTCCTGGGAGCCGTGGCAGCCGCTTCGTCCTCGGCTTCAGCTTCGGCCTTTACTGCCACCACAGCGCTACCATACCCATACTCCTCAGTGTCGCTCAACAGCAGCCCCGTGGCGATCATAGCCCATCAGGGCATCACCAGCAGCATTGCGGACAACAACACCACTTTGGGGCCGCTCTCGGACACCCCGTTGCTGATTGAGGAGTTCGCGGCCGGGGAGTTCGTCCTGCCCCCGCTGCAGTCCATTTTCGTGAGCCTCGTCTTGCTAATTGTGATCCTGGGCACCGTGGTGGGCAACGTCCTGGTCTGCATCGCCGTGTGCATGGTGCGGAAGCTGAGGCGCCCCTGCAATTACCTGCTCGTCTCCCTGGCCCTCTCTGACCTGTGCGTGGCTCTGCTGGTTATGCCCATGGCCCTGCTCTACGAGGTTCTGGAGAAGTGGAACTTCGGTCCGCTGCTCTGCGACATCTGGGTGTCCTTCGATGTACTCTGCTGCACCGCCTCGATCCTCAACCTGTGCGCCATCTCCGTGGACCGCTACCTGGCCATCACCAAGCCCCTGGAGTACGGCGTGAAGCGGACGCCCCGTCGGATGATGCTCTGTGTGATGGTTGTGTGGCTGGCCGCCGCCTGCATCTCGCTGCCGCCGCTGCTGATACTGGGCAACGAGCACGAGGACGAGGACGGAATGCCCATCTGTACGGTGTGCCAGAACTTCGCATATCAGATCTATGCCACGCTGGGCTCCTTCTACATCCCGCTTTCCGTGATGCTGTTCGTCTACTACCAGATTTTCAGGGCTGCCCGTCGAATCGTCCTCGAGGAGAAACGGGCCCAGACTCATCTCCAGAAGGCGCTCAACGGCAAGGGCTCACCCACTGCCGCCGATCCGCCGCTGGGCCACACGGAGCTGGTCAGCGGCAATGGACAGCGGCACAGCAGCGTGGGCAACACCTCCCTCACATACTCCACCTGTGGGGGACTCAGCAGCGGGGGCGGGGCCATCAGTGGCGGTCCTTCTGGGGGACATCACGGTGGCCACCATGGCAGCGGGGGCGGTGCGAGCGGCTCCACCGGACTCCTGGGGTCGCCGCACCACAAAAAGCTCCGCTTCCAGTTGGCGAAGGAGAAGAAGGCCTCCACCACGCTGGGCATCATAATGTCGGCCTTCACCGTGTGCTGGCTGCCCTTCTTCATCCTGGCCCTCATCCGGCCCTTCGAGACGATGCACGTGCCACCCTCACTCTCCTCCCTCTTCCTGTGGCTGGGCTACGCCAACTCCCTGCTGAATCCCATCATCTACGCCACCCTCAACCGCGACTTCCGCAAGCCCTTCCAGGAGATCCTCTACTTCCGCTGCTCCAGCCTGAACACGATGATGCGCGAGAACTACTACCAGGATCAGTACGGGGAGCCGCCCTCGCAGCGGGTGATGTTGGGGGATGAGCGGCACGGAGCCAGAGAGAGTTTTCTCTAAGGGATAATGGACGCTCAAAGGCAGGGATGTCGTGTCACGGCATGGAGACTCTGCTTCCGGGGACAACGATGACATCTTTGCTCACTCACTCACTCACTCACAAACACTTAGTCACACACATACACGCATATAAAAAGAGTATTTGTATGTAGTAGTGTTAGTAGTGCACCGCCCCCCTACATACGCATATGCACGTGGATATGGATATGCACGTGCATGTGTGTAGGTGCGAGATAACATATATGTAGACGACTCCTCTAAACGTAACTCGTTGTTGTAATTTTAAAAGGTAGATCTATAAGTATTCACACGTACACATACACACGGTTGTAACTGTGACAGGTTTCTACGGTTCCTTTTATGTTTCGAAAACAATCAGCACCGGAAATGAGCCACAATCGTTATCGAATCTATCTGATATCCTATCCTCCCTGGTTCCCCTAGTAGGCCACTCCCCAATCGCTAGAGATACTCAAAACAGAGCCAAAAATTAACCTAATTAATAATCTAGATACGTATCGATAACCTACTACGATATAATTATGTTCTGTGCAAGGACCCAAGCATTCTCTGTAAATACGGTTCAAGGGCTCTGTTTCTATACATAATAAACATATACGATTATACTATATATATTGTACGAGTGCTCAAGGGAGAACTACACTACCTATAATATTGTACTATATTTTGTAACTTTCTGCATTAGTCCTTCGTTGTATTTTGTATGAAAAAGTCACGCCTCTCTGTGATACCAAACATTAAGCATTATCGTACTCTTATGTTTAGATTGAAGAATCGAAGCTGCATCAGACGTAACGGAACGGAACGGAACACACGCAACACCTACTTATACAAACAAACATTTAGATATAGTCTCTACTAAGTGTGCATGTTTTTATTGTATATGATATGTAATGTATGTAATGATATTCACAAGAAACCAAACCAAAACACAAGCGAAAGATAAACTATCAAAACTATTTACATACATACCACACCAAACCACACCCCTACCGCACTCATGAGACGAAGCCATGACAAGAAACTAAGCTAAAGCCCAGATAATATTGCAGAACTAGAGTTCTCTATGAAAACTACAAACATAACATCAAATATTATAGTAACTATAACAAAACAAAACAAAAGCTTACCAAACTGCAGAACTGCATTTGAAAACTGTTTTTCCAAAGAGCGCAGGTGCAGGTGCAGAAGTTAATGCATCAAATAAAAGGCAAACCGTATAAATGTAATTTAAACAACTCTCGTTTTCTTCTGTTCTGGACTCACTGCAATGGTCATTCTTACTTCGTAGAAAGAGGTTTGTCTTCAGTGAAGTACAGTTGATTACTACGACTACGGGATAAGTGGAAAACGTTCGATTTTAATCTTTACCCCCAGCTGGTTAAAGTAGTACTTATTAATGATAGCTATCACTGCAGTGCCATCTGCATCGGCCTTAGTTTACACCCTCAAGAAACGAACATACCCTCCCTACTGCATACCTCTGGTCCAATTACTTGGCCTTCAAGTTACTCTAAATTGTCCCCTTTGTTAGTGAATTTTTTTCGTAAAAATCTGTCATTTATTGAAGCGGCGACAAAGTGCCACCAGCCTCCAGCCAGTGACTCATTGAATAGTATCTCACTGTCGAGCCATAGAATTTGAGCCAAAAAGTGCGCAATGGAAATTAAATTCTATGCCAGAATTCATAAAAAGCGACAGCAGGAGAAGAATTGAATTCAAATTCAACAAGAGCATGGAAAATGGAAAATGTGAAATGGAAAATGCGAAGCTAGGCGAAGTGCAGCAGCTGGCGGCCGTAGTTAATGCAGAAGAATGTCAACCCAGTGGGAAATTTAACGGACAGCAAGTGGCTTTAACCCGAACACAAAAAGCGTCTATGGCAATGGCAGTGGCAGTGGCAGAGGCAGACTCTTATTCTCCCATTCGAGTGTATTCTGTGCTCATTGAAAGTGACAAGTTGGGCAAACGTGCAGAATGCACGTTCCGGAAACGGAAGCCAAAGCAAAAGCTGGCGCCAACATGGCGAAAATATCAAAAGGCGAACGAGCAGAACTAACAAACATCTGTGGCGGATGGAGGAGCCATAGCCGTGTGGCGCTCTCCCATGCAAATATCTGCACATTTCACTATTTTTTTCTGGGGCACGGCACAGCATAGACATAGACATAAACAAGGCGAATGTTTCGGAGCGAAAGATCTGGGCGGGCAGCCACTTTTCGCAGAGATTCGCAGGATGTGGGGAAAAAGCTCTTGAAAAAGGGTATGACAATGACAAAGTGATGCGGATCTGACGGCGCCAGCAGCAGGACGAGTTTCGAGCTCCGTGTTGCTCCGGGCTGCTCCGGGCTCCTCCTGGCTGCCTGCTGATAAATGATGATTTTACGCCCGTACATGAGGGGATGCCATTTTATGAGCTCCAGCAGCCGAGCCAAAAAACACACCAAGCACAAGGCCACGCCTTCCATTCACCCACTCATCCACGGATGCAGGATGTGGATGTGGATGTGGATATGGGATGTGAACAGGAGAATGCCTGTTTCAGTTAAGCGGATTTTTGCATTCAAATTCCAAGGATAAAAAAAGGAAAGCTGACGATTGCAGCAAAATTGTTGCAGCTCGAGCGAGGGCGAAGAGTCCGCCCTGCAGCTTTATGAGCGCTCTTTTCTATTAGTGTTTTTCGTGACACTAATGCGACGCTTATGAAACAACGGGACTCGTTGTCGGGGCTGCTGTCAGGGACAGCGTCGGTGTTTTAGAAAATGTCGCTTATGACATGTATCTGTAGTTGTCAGGCCCATAACCATGAAGTGTTAACAAGCATGTGCCACATAAATCAACATAGAGCCGGGACGGCTTTGGCAGACAGGGGACAGCGGAGAGGACCCTTTTCTGGACAGACCCACTGAAAATTGGGAAAGTCTGAAAAACAATAAAAGCAAAAGGCAGAGTGCCAGAGTGCCAAAGTGCGGCACGTAACAAAAAACCCCCAATTGAGCTCAATTTCCTGTGAGTGGCACTCTCCTCTGGAATGTTTCAGAGTGGAAAGGCCGCTAAAGTGACTCTACTTACGAGCAGAGTAGCTCCATTTGTCCGATAACGCAATCGAAAGTCGAAAATCGAAAATCAATAGCCCATCCCACGCATAATGGAGAGCAAATGTCAATGCTGTAAGGTAATAAGACAAATTTCCAAATGTATTTGCCGAACAGCAAAACAAAATGAGCTCGAGTTTCAGCTATAAAGGCGAAAGACCATCCACAAATGACAATCAGATGGTGGTTGGAGGATGGTGGACTCCTCCTAGAGGGATGTTAAATTTAATAAATATCAAAGTAGCATCTCGGGAAAATGGCAATCTAATATTTTGTGCGAGTATTCAATGACTCAAACAAAGAAATATGAAACCCAATCAGCTTAGAGTTGATGTATTGCTCAAGTGCTTTGAAGGAAACCAACCGCAAAGCATACACATTTTTCAAAGTTGAAAATCCACATTGCTACAGAAATATTACGCATCCGACAGGTAGTTCTATGCCCAAGAATACGCAGCACCTTTGCAAATGTGTGAAAATATATTCGAAACAAATTATGTAAATTATTTCAAGCCCTAAAAACTCCATTTCATCATGACGCGATAGGCATCTGCTCTGCAGCCACAAGACCCATTTAGCCTCTCGCTCTGCCCATTTTTTCATTGTTGTAATTGTGGAAAATGTTTTATTAAATGCGGTCCTGCTGGACCGGTGTCACGTCACCCAGTCGAGCCAAGCCGAAAATGAAGAAAGTGCGGGAAAAGTGAGCTGAAATGTCTGGGAATTTGTACAAAATTAAGTTGATTAAATGGACTTAGCAGCGCGATTACACGCAAGGCTGGACGGGTCCTTAAGCGCCCTGCCCTGCCCTACCCTGCGTGGGGCCCTACTTTTGGGCTTGTCGTAGAACATTTTTCATTCTTTCGTCTAATTCATTGCCGTCACTGCTAGTGGTTCGGCTCCTATCCATTGACAGGAGCCCGTCCAGGGACGGACGGCAGCAATGCGGCGAAACTTTGACCATCGAAATCTGGGGCAGAGTCCCGTGGGAGCAGTCGACTTTGGCTTCGTTAAATGTCGCATGATTAACGCTTTGCTCTAGAAGACAATTGATAAAGAATGGAACGGAAGGGCCAGCAGGATTTTAGAACGGGCTCCCAAGATGCTTTAAGCCCGTGTCGGGCTGCGCACAATGGACAATGGACCACGGACAATGCAGCTTTTCCTTGTGTAACAAGAGAAAAGAAAAGCTGCTTGGGAACCTGGCTCAACTTAATGCGAGCAGAGTAGGGGATGGGCATGCAAGGAGTAGTTCTTTAAGTGTGCATTAGTTTCCCATTTCTCCAGAGCATTCAGCATTCGTCTGGGCTGTGTCTGCGCTTTTTGTTGGCCTTCCCTTCCTTCCTTCTTTGCTTCCTTGTTTCTTTCCGTCTTGACAATTAAGGTCGGTCTGTGCAGCTGCCATAGAGCAGCCAAGAGAAGCATTTAATGCAGGAATCACTTTGTTTTAGGACCCATTGCGGCTCGGGGTGCCTCGCGTGGATGCTCCTTTGTTTTTTGTGTTAGCTCTGGTCGAAAAAAACAAAACAGAAATTGCGAAAAAAGAGGAAAAAAACACGCTGCGATGGCTGCTGCAAGCATTCGAAATGATTAATGTGCCGGATCCTGAACGGAACAGAACGGAACAGAACAGGAGGAGCATTAATGGGCGGTCAGTGAGGCGTTCTCTCCGACAGCTAGTGGCTTCATTTTGTCGGTCCCACTCCATGGCTGCCTGCCAAGTCTTCCAGCCATGTCTTCACGTACACGCTAAAAAAAGGCGAACAAAAGATTGCAGCACGTTTTGGCTCAAAAATCCCTGTTCCGTTTGGCAATCAGCGGCAGGCCCATAAATTAACTCGCCGCGCACCACGCTGCGTATGATTAATATTTAGTATTACACAATCTAATGGTAGACTCGTGAGCAATTTCCAGTGTTTTCCAGTGGATGTGCACCCAGTGTACGAGTACGATCTTAATTTCGGTGCCTCGCTTAAATCTTTATTAATATGCCAGGAGTCCGTCTCATCCGCGCGTCTGATGAAAAACGGTTGCCATCAGCATTAGCGGCATCAAATTTGCCCGGGTGTCTTGCCCCTCAGAAGCACCAACGGCACAACTGCATTGATTTTGTGTGCGCAGAGTCCGGAGAGTCCGTAGAGTGCGAACAGCTCCAGCCACATGCCATTTATGTTAATGATTACCCAGAATTGGCAGTGGAATCCGGCGAAATTGACGCCTATCTAGTGGTGGAGAGGTGGGGGAGCATGTGCCATCAATTACGGACAAATTGAGGTAGATCTCATTCGACAAGGCCAACACCATTTTCCGTTGGATTGGGGGAAGCTGAGGTTTGTTCAACGGAGTCCCATAGCACACAGATATGATGTATATCAGGAATAGCTTAATGTGTTTAAGCGCACATAAAGCCCACTCTGTGATTTACTTCATGTATTCAATATCTCATAGTTTCATTCAAAGTTTGTTTGATTCAGTAATGAAAGTATAAATATCTATAACCATTTGTTAATTGTGAACCGTCGAAAGAGACGACATTTCAATATGAGTCTAAGGCATGACCACTACGGAGGAATAGAATATTTCCAGGAAGCCGAAGCCCTTCCGCATCCACAACACGGGCCCGCTGACAAGATGGCTGATGACCATGTGGGTCGTGGACATGATATGCCGATGGTCTTCCACGGTGGCTACAACGAGACCATCCTGTTCAAGTTTTGGCAATGCGACACCCGGCTGGCGTTGGCCTTCTCTTGCCTGAGCATCTTCATTTTGGCCATTCTCTACGAGGCTCTCAAGTTCTTCCGCGATTGGCTCTTCCGGAAACGCAAGCGGCGCATACAGGGGGGCTACGACAACTACAGTCCATCCCGTAACCGTCCTTACAATTACTACGACTACTATCGGCAGCCACACCCACAGATGCAGCGACATTTACAGCCACATCTACAGCCACGTCTACAGCCACAGCCACAGCTACAGCCACAGCCTCAGCTAACAGGCCGCATACAGACATATGTGTATCGACCGCCCCAGGTGCGCCGACCAGCGCAGACCCAATCTCCTGCCCCAACCGCAGCCCCAACCGCAGCCCCAACCTCCATTACATACTTTTCGGATGGTGAGTCCATATCCACATTGGGTGATCTACCCACGTCCTCATCGAGTGATCAAGCCGTGCCGAGATCGGCCAGTAATCGTTCGGCAACAACGGATGCTCAAGCTATTCAAACATCGGACTTCCAAGCAGCGACCGCCTCGGACGACAAAAGCCCGAAGACCTCACTAATCTCTCAAGCCTGGAAAAAGTTGCGGCTGGACGCATCAAGTGCCTCCAGATCGGGTGGCCAAGGAACGTCGACATCGGCCGCCCAAGGTGTATCTACAGCAAATGCGCATACGCACATTCGTCGGCCCGGTCCGCCGGGTCCGCCGGGTCCGCCGGGTCCATCCCGTCTTCTGGCGGCAGTGGAGAGCCAGGATACCGGCGAGTCTTTTACGTGCGATTTTTATCTGTCACCGCTGCATATTGCTCAGACCTTTCTTCACATGCTGCAGGTCCTGATCTCCTTCTTGCTGATGCTCGTCTTCATGAGCTTTAATGTTTGGCTCTGCCTCGCAGTGCTCCTCGGCGCGGGCATGGGCTATTTCCTCTTCTTCCCCCTGTGCACTAGTGTCCAGGAGCACTGCAACTGAGGCAAGCGCCGAGTCCTGAAACCTGAGTCCATGTTCCATGTCCCGGCTAATGCGCATGCTAATGTATTTTTCTAATTAAAGCAAGTTGTTAAAATCATAACGGCTCGTCGGGTCCTCGCTCCTCTACCTAATTGTTAATGTTTATGGCTCGTAAAACAATGGATGCAGCAGCGTCTTCCAAATTGCCAGCCAGTTTGGTCCTGGCCTTCATGCTGGCTAACTAGGCGTATGCGTAACGCCTGGCCAGCGGGGCGTGGCGTGCGAGTGTGATAGGAAGGCGAGGACAGCCAGGAGGCGTATCGCTCAGCATTTTTATGCGTTATTCTTGGATATTTTTGTATCTGCCGCCCGAGTTTACGAGAGCACCCCCCACCTTCTGCATGCCGGACCTCTGTGTGTGGTCTCCAGGTGAGGGCCAAGGATGCCGAGATGATGGGGGATTCTGACGTTTATTTGCCCCGTGTCTGGCATTTTCATTATGCCATAATTATGAGGGCGATAAAGCAGCGCCGTGTTTGCTTTTCGGCACATGAAAACGGTAAACGGAAATGGACGCCATTGTTGTCTGTCGTGTGTCGTCTGTCGGGTGCTTGCTCGTCGATTGCGCTCCCAGTTATCGGCGCTTCCACTTTCAATTAATATTTTAATAAGCAGCCTTTTTGCCGTTTGGCAGGCGGATAACGCAATTTGGCCTTACCACGCCCCGCTGCACACGAAGCAGAAAGCAGGCCACGGCACGGCCTGACACAACAGCCGCAGAAGGTAAGCACGGCCACAGAGGAGGAGCAGCAGCAGAGCTGGCCAAGGCAAAAGCGGCTTTAATAATTCAGCCACACTCGTATATGGGTACCTGCGAGTCTTGACCAATGCGCAGGGCCTGCATGGCCAAGAGCGGAAACGGAAATGCGTCCATGCATAACAATTTTACATAGAAGAAGAAGGTGGAGAAGCCTGCTGGACATGTGAGCAACGGCTGGCAGACCACAACTACAGTTTCAATTAAATAAGGATTGTGGTGGAGGAGGACGAGAAGGATGAGGGCGAGTGGTCGAGGCAGACACTAACTGAAGTTGGAGAGTAATTGGAAAATTTTAAATTGTAATTAAACATCTACAATTTATTTACCTCAAGGTTCTACAATAATATTGTGTTTCAAAAAAAGACAGAGCTGCACATTAGTTTTCTTCAACCAGTTGTTCTCTGCTCCAAAAAACATGTCTATTTTCTCCGAGTACGAAGTGTCTTGTTGATGCTGAAGCCCGTGTCGCGGTAGGCGGCCGGCATGTAGGCGTAGAAGATCTCGCCTGGCGGCGCGTCACACAGGGGCGAACGCATGGCGGAGAAGAACACTCGTCCCACTGACATGAGGGCCTCCACAAAGAGGTTCGTCTGGTGTTCTCGGAGGTACTTGGAGAAGTTCTTTGAGGGCCGCTGATGCCGGGCGTTTGGCAGGCTGGGCGGCTTTACCAGCGGGTAATTCATGAGTTCATACAGGAGAGTCATGTGGAAATTGTTATGTAAATAGCTGCGCTTCCGCTCGGCCGGGGTGTAGCGCTTGCCGTAGCGCGAGCAGATCCACTCGAGGAGGTACGGCACGGAGTGAACGTTGGGCAGAGTGGGCAGGACATAGTGATGATCCTTTCCGACAGTGTCGAGTCCCTTTTTCAGCATTCTTTTCATCAGAAGGATATCCTCTGGGTCGTAGTACTGCTGGCCAAAGTTCAGGCGGCTTTCCTTCTTGAGCTCTGATTTGCGGAGCACCAATCGTTCGTATTCCTCATTGAAGATTTCTGTATCCTTGGCGAACACGCGCTTGGCTGCTCTGTCCACCAAATTGCTCACGGAGTCGTCTTCCTCTCTATTAAGGGCGGCGTTCAGGAACTCGCAGTCCTCGTCCAGGGCCTTCAAAAAAGCCGCTTTCAGCCTCAAGTTCTGGTCGTCCAAACGAGTGGCCTTCGAGGGTCCAAACAGCCGGCGATAGTTGAACTTGAATTCCGCAGCTTTTTGTGTTCCCACCTCAAACACCTTCATGCTGTCGCTGCAGCTTTGCGACTGAGGAGGAGAAGGAGCAGAAGGAGCATTCTCCTTGTCCCCATCATTGCTCAGCTTCTCATCCTCGTCGCCAAGCTTCAGAAACTGCATCAAGCTGCTGGGGCGTCCAAGTCGCTTGCCCGTGCACGGCACTGGCAGACCGTTCTCCGGGTCGTACATCTCACAGCTCGCACAATCCATCGGCTCCAACTTGAAGCCTCGACTGCAGTGTGGGATCACAGGTTTCACTCCCTGTAGCAGTCTCACATGTGAGGAGCCATCGCCATCCCCATCGCCACCGCCACCGCCACCGCCACCGCCAGATCGTTTGCGTAGACACAAAATGTTCGCATTCATCGGTGCACCATCACAGGCGCAGCTGAACAGCTGCTTCCTGGTCGAGGCCTGGCGTGTCCTCGTCGCCATCTCGTGGAACTGCGCCTGGCAGCAGGCGACCATCTGCTCCAGCTCGGAAATGACCTGCTTCCGTCGCCGTTGCTGTAGTCGGTTCGGGGCGGTGAGCAGCTCCTCGCACTGCTGCTTCTTCAGTGCCTCCAGCTGGACCTTCAGCGACTTCTCCATCTCTCTGATGCGCTGGTGGTGGGTGCACAAGGCCTCCACGTCATGGGCGGGGAGCTCGGCCGCGTCGAAGGAGGCAATGATGTTGCGGATCTCCTCGTAGAGAATGGAGCGGGATATGCGGTGGGCGTCGCTAATGACGTAGTGGCCAAACCAGCGGGATAAGAGCGGTGATTCGCCCGCCTCCCGGGGTGTTTCACCCAGCATAGCCGGACGGGCGGGAACTTCGGACATGATGTTCATAGTGGGCCGCCAGGGCCGGAAGGCTGGAGGCTCCTGGAAGTACGGCGATAGTGGACGTGTTAGATCCATCTTCTTTGGGTTCCGTTTCTCAGTCTCTGATCGAAGGTCGTCAAGCCTTTGGCTCTGCTTCTGAAGTGGCTCCGCATTGACATTGGCCATGTCCGTTTGGGTGTCATTTGGAAGCGGCAGCACGCGATCCAGCTCCTGGAGGGTGGGGTACAGGTCCAGCCAGAAGATGGCCGACATGATGATCTGCTCGTTGACGTCATAGGCTCGACCGTGGGCCTCCGTCTTGTAGCACATCTCCATGAGGAACCAGAGAAAGGCCAGGTTGTTGCCTCTGCTCATGCGCATCAACTTTATCAGCGTTTTCTTGGACGGTCGGGGACGCAGCCCAATGACCTCCACCAAACGACACGTTCGCCGAGTCGTCCACTGCTCCATGTCATCGCGCAGCGCATCGCTTATGGCCAGAGCTGCGTTCATCTGCGGTTTCGATAAGTTGCGATACCACCCGGCTTCAATACATGCCAGCTCGCTATCGACTTCGAGTCCCAGGTGCTTTTGGATGTATCGAAGGGTTTGCAGCCCCTGGGGATCGCGATCACGACTCGAGCATCGCTCAGATCTTCCTGGATCTTCCTTCATATTACGTGGAGATTGAATTTCGTCCTACTAAAAATTAGTGTTACTAAAACCGAAAACGAATCAATTGAAAAACTGAGTATGTCAGTTTTGTGAAAGTGTTTGAAGTGTTGGGCAATGCCTGCCAAAACTGTCTCATGCCCAAGTTTCCTTCACCCTCCACTCAAAGATAAATGATTTGGCGCCAGTCCGAATGACGTCTGTCCTTTCTCCCGCTTTCAGCCTCACACGGGTCCTGGTCCAACTCTGAATGTCCGTCCTGCCATCGTCCAAAATGCTATAAATTGCCCTCGTGTGCGAATGTCGCCTAAGTGTTTTCCTTCTATTCTATTCTTGTGGCGCACAGATTTTGGTGGGTGGAGGTGGAGGCGGATGCGGAGTCTGAGTGTATCATTAATTTATTAGCAAGCCAAATCGGTATGTTTGTCCTTTCGCGCACGCTCGCTCTCACACGTGTTCCCCACGTGTCCTTTCGGTCGAGCAGGTCCTTCACAATTAGCTCCACTCCGGGTCTGGGTCCTGGTCGCTGTTTCCTTGCTGGTTCCTCTTTAGCGTCTTTGATATGCCATATAATTTATGACTTTCTACTGTCAATTAAATTCTTTAGAAAATGACAGTTTTGCCATTTGCCAACAACGTGATCCCCTGTTTTCGGTTCTATTTCGGGGCCGATGCCGGTGCCGGTTCCTAAGCAGGTCGAAATGATTTATGCACCGACGGGTTGACAGTTCGGGCCCTGCTTTGGCCACCATCTTTGTCGTCGTTCCCTTTCATGCTCATGTCCTTTGTCTTGTTCCTGTGTGATTGGAAGAGCTTTTCGGGCTAGTTTTCGGTCCTTTTTCCGTCCTCCGGCCACCTCCGGCACGTGCCCCACGCCTGCAGAGTTCTTTATGTTAATGACCCGAACCGGCTTAGGTTCCTCTTCCTGCTCTGCCTCCCTTCTGCGAGGGTTCTGAGGCTGCTGCTGATGTGGCAATTGGCATGTGTTTCTTCTCATTTTGGGCAGGCTTTTCTTTCCTTTGGGCCAGCATACCTAGGCGGATGCTAGATGTTAATAATAGATATGCTCGCATTGTCAGGTGAACTTATCGCATCGGTCATATATCAAGGAAATTAAAGTGGTTCTCCGGCACACTGAAGGAGTACGGTACGGGATCTACGGGCTCCACGGGGCCTGAAAGCCTTTGACAAGTTTTCGTGTTTTCCAGTGTTTTCCTTTGGATTGCGTGACAGGCTGCGGGGCTTTTGGAATTGCTATAGTTACCATTACTTTTACTGTTACTTTTGCCACCACAGGTGCACCCACCCAGAACCAGGACACGACTGCCTGCCAGGACACACACACCAAATGAATTTCACAAGATTTATGGCAGCTCATCCGTTATTGATGTCGCCGAAAAAAATACGAATATATCCATACATAAATGGGGTTTTTTGTGCCTCCAACAGGGATTGAGGTGGACTTTTTCGGGGTTACGGGAACTACCATCAGATTTTTTAATTGCAGTTCGTTCTACTCATACTCAAAAAATTCATTTCTTGCTGCCTTTTTTCCCCTTGAATTCTAACGAAATTTCCAGCGGTTAAAGCAATCTCAAATGCACCTCGAGAACCACACTTTTATGGTCCAGACCAAAAAAACACACATACGGAAAAATATCCGCAACAGCCTTCGCCCTCCGCCACATCCTTTCTCGGCCTCGAGTCTGCGGCTTGGTCCTTTCCCAAATCAGATTTTCGTGCCTTTTGCGCCTGAACGCGTCCGCTGTTTTCCTTAACAATTTGCGCTCCAGTGAATCAGCAACTTCACCTAGATGTGCCACCAGCCACGAGCCACGAGCCACGAGGAGGAAGGTACGTACAGGAGATTTCCATTGAGGCTGGGAAATGCCGCAAGCCAGGCTTAGGCTAAGTCGTTTTGTGGGCGTTCGCTGTCTGGCTTTATGGCATCACGTGCGCCCAGCCCCCAGACCGGGACTCGGGTTTGGATTATAAAGTATATGTGTGTACGTATGTAAAAATATGCATGGGATGTTTTGCTCGCGGCGCACTTAACTTATCTAGGAATGAATGGCTCGGCTGCTATTGCCAGAGGCCAAGCCAAAACCAAAACCTGAACCAAATCCAGAACCAGTCCAAGAACGTCACTGGTATTGAAGGAAAACTGTTGCTGGAAGTGCTTAGCACGTGTGTGTTTGTTTGTTTGTGTGAGAGAAGGGTGTGTGTGGAGTGAAGCCATCTTGACAACTTCCCATTATTCAGATACAACAGACTCCCCTCCCGCACAGAAACAGATACACACATACACGAAAACAGATGGAGATACAGATACTGAAGGCTGCGACTGTAAGAGTGAAAGCTTGTTCCTCGTATTCTGCGCATATTTTTTACCCCTTGGCGTACTTTAACGAGCTCCTAACTTTATGTTTGTTTGTCATGTACACATTTTGTTTTTATTGGGGGGTTGCTTAAGTGAAACATTTTTAAAGCATACTTTGAGGCGTTGGAGGGTGCTCCCTGACTCCTGCTCTTGCTCTTGCTCCGCCGTTCAACAGTTTTTTTGGGGGCTAATGCGAGAAACCCCAAAAACACCATGGGTCCCCGGGTCCCGGGGCCTGCTTTTTGCCTGCTTCTGTTTTTCTGCTTTTCTGTTTGCTGTTTGCTGTGTGCGCCATTTGTTTATAAATTTAATTTGTCTTAGGCAAAAACCTCTGACGACTTGTTGACTTATGGGGCCAAAGTTTTCCGTTCCGGTTTGTTGCTGCCAAATGTATTTTGCATACAATACAGACTCGTATTTATCCAAGATTTAATGCATGGCAACGCATTCTGAACAAGCCCCGGAGTAAATGGGAATTCATCCATTCTTGCATCCAGAATTTATGAAGCTTCCAGTACGACTTTACTATGTGTCTGTAGGAACACATTTCGGAGCGGAGCCAAATGCGAACAGAGCTTGGCTAACATACACAAATTGTGGCCATGCATCTGAGCCAAACAATGATTTGTAATATGCAAAATTCCCACTCTCTGCAGGAGAACTATCACTTCGACCCCTATCCTTACTTGTGTGTGTGTGTCTGTGGGAAGGGGAGGTTTTTGTGACTTGGTATTTTATGCGTTATTGAATTTCACTTAAAGGCAACTCATGCTTGCTTATTTATACTCGTACTCGTACTCGTATTCGCATTGTCTGTGTGTGCCCCAGAACACAAAATCGTACCAATATCACTTGAGTCGAGTTTGGGCCTTGGCAGCCCTCCTCTTTGAGGGTTGGCTATGTTGTCGGAAAGTATTTTCTGGCATGTGGCTTGTCCATTGGGAGGACCAGCAACCGAGCATACTCGTATTCATATTTGAATGAGTTAAAAGGTAACTTACTCATAAATAGGTCAGGGGAAAACTTTGCAAAGACCCATTTCATTTGAAACTGTTCCATTTAGGGAAGTTTCCATAAACATTTTTCGCATACAATTGCGAGCAACAATCTGGAGATGGAAAAACTATCCATCCTCCCATAAGCATGGTTCAAGAGCTGAGGTGTCGACGAAAGTTTGGACCAATTAGGAGAGCTTCCATTTCAGCTCAAGACTGCCAGAATATAAAATTACACATTACGCAATCACAAATTGTCCACATTTTTCAGGTGGTTGATACAATTTTTGGTCAACATAAAAGTTCACTTTATTTAGTTTTTGGAGAGGAATCACTTTTGTACCTACTATATAATCACCAAGGGCATACGAGCGTATCTAGTTGGAGCATAGTTTTACACAATTAAATGATAATTGTTATTAATTACAATGGACACCAGCACCAACACGAACACCTAAAACTACAGCAGATATAGTAACTAAAAACACACAAATCCACATCTACAGCCACATCTACAGCCACCTCCACAGCAGCTACAGCTACAGTGCTAGGAACCACCAAGGGCATACAAAATGTTCAAGCGTACCCGTACTTTTGAGCCAATTGAGCCAGAACAACAACTCCAGCTCCGACACCAAACACCTTAACTACAACAACAACAGAAACTAATAAAAGTACACCACTACCAAAGGGAGCAACTACAATACTGTATACTGGGAATCACCAAGGGCATATGAAATGCTAGAGCATAGTTTTGGGCCAATTGACAAAAGCGTCAAACTGACACGACCGTGGCAGCACACACACACACACTCTAAACAATTGCCAAACAAACACTCGCACTCACTCGCAGGAATACACCCACACAGATAGTAACGCTGCAACGTGCGAGAGAGTGTGTGGATGGGCGCCAAAAGGTATGCTAGCATCGGCAGACGGTCGGCACTAACTGAAATTAAACATGAAAAATGCAGCACCAACGAACAGATAGAGGTGGGTTGTACTGGCAGATGTAACTGCCAGAAGTTGTATCTGTTGGCAACTGAAAAATACTAGCAACTAGCAGCCCAAACATGCAGCCCCATGCGCAGGCAAAGGCGCATCCACATCCACATCCACAGGCGGTGCTGATGGTTCCGAATATGGTATATGGTAAATTATGTAGCACGCCAAATTTGAAATGCAAACAAAGACCAGGCTTCTCCTGGTTTTCGCATCCCATCCCATATGGCTCATGCAGAGGATTGAATGATGAGAATGGGCTCGCTGCATTCCGTTCCCGGAAACGGATTCGCCACCTAAATAATTGAGTAAATCTCCGGGAGCAGCCAAGGTTTTATGGAACAAAGTACACAGTCATCTCCAGAGATTTTTCTTGGGAAAACAACAATTGAAAAGCCAGTTCTGCTGAAAACCCGGACTTGGCAGCATGAAATGTTGTTTGTCGTCACGTTGGGAACACTCCATTAAGCTAGTCAGTAGTATGCATCGGGCAGTCAAAAAGTTTGGCCAACAACAGATATAAAAGCAACTAGCGGTCATTTCTGGCTACAAAATACGAAAATGCAAATTATGAGTGCCATCAGGGGAAGATTGCCGGCAAAGTGCTCCCAGGAACGACTGCTGATGCGCAGCTAATTGCCAC